TATCGGGGGCTTTCGATAGCCGCGCACGTCTTGACAGACCAAATTTCTTTGGTAGAGCCCGCGGTTAGGGCAGGATATTCATGAAGTTCCCATCGTCTATAGGGTATCAATATGGGTTGATCTAATCTAATCGATTTCAGCAGAGCCAATTTGATTTCGTCGTTTGGAAATATGTGCTTGACCCTAAGATCGACACTATCAATTTTTAATTCCGCCGTTGTTTTAATTGCACTGGCCGCAACACCGCCCATTGGTTTAATTATCATACAATTTTTGTCATGTCTGGCTCTTACCAATCTTATGGTTTGTTTTCCACAAGTTATCATATTATAATCATTAAATATGTTTAAAAAGTGTCGTAACGGGATTCGCATGCTACAACGTCCATTTTCTGTATCGTGAATCGCATTTTCAGGGAAATTCCAGCCGGAAATATCTAGATGCGATGAGTCATCTTTGGAGTAACATAGATAACCTCTAATCGTACTAACTATACCCGGATCACGCACGCTATCCACTTCTTTCCCATTCAGCTCGTACGATATAGTTTCAAAAAAAAATGCTCCTGCATTGTTTACAAATTGCACTTGGTCGGTTCCCGTGAGACGTTTCAGCGATCCCTTAATGCAAATAGCAGCGTCGTACATAAGCAGCCAGGCATCTCCTTGATTGATCGTGATCTCAATGGTGTCGTTGTTCAAAAAAGATTTCACAAAGGGATGATAGGTGCGGGTCTCCACGCGCTGGATAGATTCATCAAATTTTGGCTTTCTGTGTATGTCGAATATTTGATTCGATAACATCGTAGCCCAGTGATCGGAGAAATTGTTTGTTGCTCAATGTAAGACGACCTTTACGGATACGCCTCGGTTTTGTTACTAACCCTACCGTTTGAATGTTCGCTTTTTTATATTCACCAGCGTCTCCGATTGAGTTGAAAATCAACATTACGTTAATTTTTTAAGTTCCAATCTAATGATGATTTCTTCACCTCGGAAATTAACCAACTCAAAGTTTTGATCCAGAACCTGTAGGGTAATGTTGTAGATTTGTCGTTTGTTTACTGGCAAGTACGTTAGATATTTAGGAGTTTCGTCGATGGCGTACCCCGGATCGACGGACAAGGCAAACTCGTAAATTGTGTGCGAAGGTCTGTCGTTGTAGAACGCTCCAGACGTTATGTTACTATCTACATGTATCGTTCGCACTTTTATTATATCCACGGGTAAATCTGAGGAATGCATAATATTGGGCTCCAAAATTTTCTGTGAAAACCCCAATAATTTTCCGATACTGTCCGAGTGTTGTTTAAAGTTTACCCCGTATACGGGGCTGTAGATTTCACACTTTATCGTATTATTGTTGGGTTTGATTGATATCTCCTCTATTAACTTTGGGATCGTATTCTTCTCTTCCTTATTTTTTGGCAGATGTTCGTTAATGTAGGTTTCAATGTCGCTAATTTCATAGGACCCGGTCGGAATTTCAATTACGTTTTCTTTATTGTTACCATCGAAGTAGTAAAATTTATTCGAACCCTTATCTATGTTGGGAATGTTGTTGTAAGAGTGGAATCCAATCACCGCTAAACCGTACTCTACATCTTCATCCAACTGCAGCGGATTGACAAAGTCGATGGATAATGTCGACGTGTTCCCTTTTAACGTAAATATGATCGACATGTTGACTGCTTATAGGTCCGCGATTTCAGTCCTTTTTATAGAGAAATTGCAAACACAAATGACCGCAATTGTATTGCGTAAACTTTTGATATCTATCGTGATTATAGTAGATATTGGCGCTGTTGCCGAAATATTTAACAAGTTCCGCGGGTGGTTTAAGGTTACCGAAACTGTCAAAATACTCAACATCGTTTCCCTTCCTCTTTTTGTATGCTACCCAGTGGGTTCCTCTATTTCGACGAACATCCAAATTTACGATTCCGCATTCTTGCGATCTGATTCGACGGGGTAAACTATCTCGCATAAAAACACCCCTGAAGTGAGGAATTTTTAATTTGCGCGCCAGAGATATTAAATCGACGTCGTATAGAGCCCTTCTGGGTAGCTTTATTGGGAGTTTTTTTGTTTCTTCAGATAAAGACCGAATCCGCCGCGCGGACTCTTTTTCAAGAATAGACCCGATCCCTTTTTTCCAATCTCTTCCATAGCTCGGTTATGGCGGTTGTCCTCTTCGAGTTTCTTTCGTGCGTTTTTCGCATCGATGACAGTTTTAGCGATAGCAGCGGCTCCGCCCGAGAGCGAACCTAAAGCCCCTAGCGCTCCTAATAACGGTAAAAGTGGTAAAATACCGCCCGATTTTGATTCGAACGGTATAATTCTAGGTACCCTAATTTTTTTACGTCCTCCCGCTTTTCTTACAGCGGCTCTGCCAGCTCGAAGCGCTTCCAGTGCCGATCTTCTAAGCATTTTAGGGTTATCGATATGAAACAATTGTTTCTTCTTTAATGCATTGCGAACCTTTTTCACGACACCCTGTCGAAACGAAACAGAGGGACGCCGTTGTTGACCCATACCGAGCTTACGTTTAGTTTTCATAGTCGCGGTGACAAAGAATGCGGCAGCTTTTTCACCAAACTTTGCGTCTTTAGATTTTACTCGCTGCCACGCACGCGTTTCCAATTCTTTATCCGCTTTATGACGTTCGTCTAACGATTTGTTTTGCGAATAGGCAATGTCGTGTACCTTACACGCAGCGTCCAAAGGATTCACCCCGCTATCGCCTCGGTTCAAGCGTTTTTCCAATTTTGTACCGGGACCGCAAAACTGGTAACCCGGAATGTGTACTTCAAAAGGTAACTTGTTAATAAGCGTGTTAACGAGACCACTTCCGGACGCGAAGCATAACATACTAATTAAAGGAAATTGCTTGTGTCGTATATATATATACGAGGTGTCTCGAATAAACATTGTAGTCATGCGGGTGGTGCAGCAGAAACTCAAGCTCCCCATCGATAATTTAGATTTGGTTTGCGGAGATGGTTTCTTTAACAAAAGCAAACACGGTCAACTGCTACCCAATTCATTTAGGGCGGTGTTTTGCGGACCTAGCGGTTGCGGCAAAACCAACACCATGTTAGCGCTACTCTTTAACCCCAACGGGGCAAGTTTCGAAAATGTTTACGTCTACTCAAAGTCGTTGTATCAACCAAAATATCAACTGTTATCTCGCGTATTGAGCAATGTCAAAGGAGTTGGATATTATCCCTACAGTGAAAGAGACTCGATAATCGACCCCAGCGACGCGAAAGAGAATTCTCTGTTTATTTTCGACGACGTGGCGTGCGACAAGCAAGATAAAATTCGCGAGTATTTTTCGATGTGCCGACACAAGGCCATCGACGCTATTTATCTCTGTCAGACATACTCCAAGGTACCCAAGCAATTGATACGTGACAATTGCAATATTGTCGCGTTGTTTAAACAGGATGACATGAATTTACGTCACGTTTATGATGAACATGTCTCACCCGACGTTTCATACGACACGTTTAAACAAATTTGTTCCGAGTGCTGGAAAGAAAAGTACGGCTGTTTGATAATTGTCAAAGATTTCGACGTAAAAAACGGACGCTACCGCAAGGGTTTCGACAAATATATAAAAGTCGATATTTAATTGTCGATAGAAACAGTCATGAAGGCGACGTCCGCCGACATCGCCGACGCGGCGCTAAAAAAAAAAGTAAACGAGTTGTCTAGATCTATTCGAAAGAAGTATTTAACATTAAAATTGGGTAAGAGCGAAGAGGATGCGTCAATTCGGAAGCTTTTCAAACCCGTCAGCGAGCCGCTAGAACGTATAGCAAAAATAAAGCTATCACCGTCACCGGCAGAAATAAAAACTGAACGTCGAGGTGTCAAGCGGGAACACAAAAAGGAACCGAACGAAGAAACAAAAAATAAGGTTAACGTATCATTTTTGCCTATGGAAGAAATTCAGGAAACGCCGGATCCCAATAAGAGCGTTGAGATGCAAAATATCGATGAGGAGGAAGATGATGTGTTTGACACATCGAGCGTGGCCAACGCATCCCTTCAATCATACCTGGAACAATATCCAGAAATTTCCCATTCATATATTCAAAATTTATGGGTAAAATCGCCCGACACCGATATTGTTTACGGACCCGTTTACGACAAAATATCATCCAAATGGTTTCTCGGCAATAAATCGCTGGATTTTCATCAAGGATCTGGCGATATTATTGTAGACGGCGAGAGATATTCCGGTACCCGCGGCTTGTATAATTTGGTGTTTTTAAAAGATCCCATAGCATACACAAAAGACGATTTGGCACAATATAAAAAAATAATGGAGGCTACCCAGGTGCACAGGGACGCGATCGGACGTCTGAAAGGCGCATCGACTGTACCAAAATATACCAAGGTCATCCGACCCTTAATAAAATCTCAGTCGCGTTCGTACTCGTACAGCGGTCAAGGTTATAATATGCGTTATAATGACGCTCCTACTGAATATGTATACTGGGACGACGTCAATGAACTCGTAGAGCGTCTGAAATTACTAATCGCGTCGAAACACGCAGGCAACACGTCTCATGATAACGAAATAGTTTCAATCGTTGAAGAGCTAAAAGAATCAGGTTTTATACGTTAGTTTAACGATGAGTCTGGACAAGTTTGGACGTTCTAGCGCGCTGCGCTCTAAACGACCCTTCACTAATACTGTGATTAGAAGCGCCCTCGACTATATGCCAGACGGAAACGTCAATATGAACAATTTAAAAATTTGCAATGTCCAAACGCCTAGCGATGACGGTGACGTGGCTAACAAAAAATATGTGGATGAGACAAGTAATTTATTAAAAATTGCATTGAGAAAGATTATTGGACAGAAACTCGAAGCGTACACGAAAAGATTACAAATTGAAGACAAAACTAAAAGTAGATGTATAGTGCCGATATAAGCAACAAAAACCGTACATAACCTCAATTTCCTAACCCCCCCGCAGCGGGGGCCCCCCGCGCGTGGCGTCCTAGTGTCCCCCCTGTCTACCAGAGTGCGCTCCGCCCCCCACCCAGCTTGTGTAGCGTCCTGTTTTGCCCCGGTTCCGCCCGTCGCTGCTAGATGTCGCGCGCTTGTGTCGCCAGCTTGTGTAGCGTCCTGTTTTGCCCCGGTTCCGCCCGTCGCTGCTAGATGTCGCGCGCTCCGACCGTCGTAGGCCCCCCCGGTAGAGGGCGGTGACGGTGCGGCGCGGTGACGCGGTGGATCGGGAGGATAATTAAATAAACTTGAATTTTAATACATTTTATTTTATTTTATTTATAAAATTGGTCTGGCGAGGAGTTTCTTCTTCTTTTTATGTCGATTCAGTCGACCATCCCATTGTTCCTGTTCCTTGCGTTGTTCTTCTTCCCGTTCCCGGAGGAAATCTAAATACGAAGTGCACTCCTCGCCGTCCCACTCCGTCGACCACCCACCCGGGTACTCCTGCTGCTCCTTTGTTTCTTTTGATCCACCGGGTTGCTCCTGCTGCTGGTGATGTTCCCTTGTCGTTTCATGTCGTACCGGGAATTCTAACCCCCGGTACTCTTTGTGTGATTTGAATATGTGACGCCCTAAGCGATGCGCCAACATAATATGCGACTTGTCATACGGACAAACCGCGATTTTTTCTAGAACAAAACAAAGTATGATATGTAGCGTTTCCTATAAAACACACATTTTTTTTTTAAACAAAACTTCCAAAAAGGGGGGTTATCAAATAATTTTAAAAATTGTTTTTTAAGTTATACGCGCATACTAAAATTCACGTTTCAATTCACTGTCATTTAAATGTAAGTGTATTATTGTCAAAAGGGCAAACTGCAATTTTTTAGTACAAAAAATAAACAAAAATATGTATATATTTCGCGTTTTCCCCATAAAACGCACATTTTTGAAACAAAACTTTCAGTAATTTTAAAAATTGTTTATTTTTTAAAAGCCAAAATTCCCTATTCACTGTCATTTAAAAGATATTAAAAACGCTCAATTTAATTCGATTATTATTGTCAAAAAGGCAAACTGCAATTTTTTAGTACAAAAAATAAAACATTTTTGAAACAAATTTAAAAATTGTTTATTTTTTAAAAGCCAAAATTCCCTTTTCCATTCACTGTCATTTAAAAGCTATTAAAAACACTCAATTTAAATCGGTTATTATGCAACGTAAAAAAGATGAGTATCATATTTTAAAACAGGTAGAAACTAACCAAAAAAGTGATAACCCAAACTGAAACCCACAAGAAAAGACGCGCACTGTATAAAGGTAATTAAAATATAAAACTTACCAGTTGTAGGGTCGTAGGGAAATGGACATCGCACTTCTGTATTCATTGCACTGAATATAGTCTATAATACACATGCAACGTATTTATACACATGCACTCCCTTCCATGGTTGAATTAAAAGTCGAAAGGTCTTCTACCCACAAGCACCAACGCCGATTTGAATAGACGCGATGTTGTCGCCAGACAACCGTGCAGGTAGAAGTCTCAAGGTCAACACGCTTTCACACGGGAACGCAACCGTTTCGGACGTTGGACGAACGTATGTTGCCGCAAAAGATCAAGGCCAACTTGCTTTCATTTTTTACAATCTCCGTATGGGATGTGGAATTTCAAAACGCGCCGAGTCTAAATGTCAAGTTGTTTTGCTTGTTGAGAATAATAATTAATTGCCCCCTTTATATTTGCTCCGTGGGATTAACGTAATGGGAAAAATTTGTTGCAACGCATGTGGAGGTGTCTTCGTTTGTTAACTTTTAGAAAGTATTCTCGCACCGTATAAATACATCTCATTTTTCTCTGTTTTGTCAGTAGTTGTTTTTGGTATTATTCGTGCAACGTGGAAGCTAACTTAGTGGTTTGGTGTTCGTACAAAAAAGCAGTAAGTACCTTTTTTATTGTCTTATTTTAATTCTTTAACATTTGTTATTATTTTATAAAGTTCCTAAAGATCATCTTAGTACTCTCAACCCGTAACCGCAAATAGAATAGCAGCAATCTTAAGCGTAAGTTTTTTTTATTTTTTTAATTTTGAGATAAAATAATTAATAATAATTTATAGATGGACTTAAGTCAACTGAATCAAACCTGTCTTGCAGAAGGTGATTTTGAGCAGCCGATTGTCAAACTGCATGAATTGCCGATAGGCGTTCCGTTTAAAATTACTAGAGCCAAAATTGTTAATACAAAATTTGGCAATTCCGTGTTGCTGCAATTAGAAAATTCCGTAGTATTTCTTCCTACTCGCGTGACAGAAGCTTTCCGTCCGAGACTAGAACACTTTGCGTCGGGGCAGTACAAACTGGTCTACGAGGGATCCAAAGATATTGGAAAGCCCAACTCTTTAAAGAAATTCAAAATAATTCAAAATTAATCAACATATTATACAGGGTAAGTCTTATTTACTGTTATATATTTAATAAACCACGATGCGCGTAAAGCAGATCATTCATAGAGGGCAAATCTTAATTTTAACCTTACAAAAATTAAAAAAGCATATTTCCGACAAGTTCACTCTTAGAGATAGTGATGTGTGGCTTAGGAGACTAAATAAAAATATTGAATCTTGCAACCAAATCGTTTCTAACGAAAAGGATTTATCTATTGGGTTAAAAAGAAAATTACAAACTACAATTCAACATCTGAAAGCTATTAGAAAAATTATTCTTAATTATCAACATAAGCATTTTGGATTGGGATTACAAAGTAGTAGCCGCGAGACAAACACAAATGAAATGGTTGTATGGGAATCGGTAGCGTCGTGTTTCCAGGGAAGAGTTCAGACTGGTGTCATAATTAATTTACTTCATAAAGATTTAATTCAATTTTTAAACGATTCTCGTCCAATATTTCAACAAAAAATTAGTCAAATTTTAAAGAAATTTTTATTGCTGAAAGTAAATACCACATTTTGCGGTGAATTTATTAAGGCAAAAAATGATGTCCAAGGCGAAGTTGATGTTAAATATCTGAGTACCGGAAATGCTGTAGTTGATTTAGGAACAGAATTGAATGATTGGTTTGTTGAAAATGTGCAAGATAAAATTTTAAATCAAATGTCAGAGTTTCAGGAACGTGATTCCGGGTGGGCTTTAAATAATATTATTTATTTAGAGATTAACATTAATAAATTTGAAATGGGTAACGGGTCATCCTTCGTTGAGTTGCCTAAAGAAATTGCGAATAAAAGGGCTTGTATTAACATTAGAAATGACGATCAAGCGTGTTTTTATTGGTCAGTTGTATGCGGACTCTTTCCAGCACGTTTTCGTCAGTATTTACCCTCTTCATATCCATACTACAAAAGTGTTTTGAAAACTGAAAATTTACAAACACCTATGGAAATGAATAAAATAAGCAAATTTGAAAAAGACAATGATATTTCCATCAATGTTTATATCTTAGAGCTTAATAAAAATGAAAAAACTAGTTTTTATTCCGTGTTACCTGCACGATTAACAAAAGAAAAACGCGAAAAACATTCAAATTTGTTGTTAATACAAAATAAATATTATCCAAAAGTTAATGATTTTGATCCTGATCCGCAAGATAATGATTATGAAGAAATAAAATATCACTATTGTTACATTAAAAATTTGTCTCGATTAGTTTCCTCACAGCTCAGTAAATATAATCACAAGAAATACATTTGCGATAGGTGTTTGAATTATTTCAATAACGAAACTCGTCTACATGACCACGAAACAATATGTTCCAGTTTCAATGAGTATAAAGTGTCTTTTCCCAAATATGATTACGTTGAATTTCGAAACCATATATATAAACAAAGGACTCCGTTTGTAATTTACGCCGATTTTGAGAGTCAATTGAGAAAAGTAAATTTGAAAATTTCAGATAAAACCTCGAAATACCAAAAGCACGAAGCTTACAGTGCTGCATATTACTTTAAATGTTCTTATGATGATTCAATATCATTTTTCAAAAGTTATCGTGGTCTAGATTGTATTGATTGGTTCGTGGAGGAAATATCTAATTTATCAAAATTTGTTCGTTCAAAATTTAAGGATATTATACCAATGGATAGTGAAATTAGTCTAGATCAAAGGTCGAGTCATTGTCATATTTGTGAAAAACCTTTTTTAAAAGAAGATGTTATTGTTCGTGACCATGATCATTTTGTATAATAAAGAAAAATACGTCATACACTATCGCAATTTAAAACAGGCTCTCAAAAACGGTCTCGTACTAAAGAAAATTCACAAAATATTAAAATTTAACCAATCTCGTTGGTTGAAATGTTATATCGATCATAATAATAAATTAAGAACCCAAGCAAAGACAAAATTTGGTATAAATTTATACAAATTGTTTAATAATGCCGCTTACGGTAAAACAATGGAAAACATTCGCAAGCATCGTATTGTTAAATTTGTTAAAGCGTGGGATGGTCGCTACGGTGCGAAAAATTTAATTTCTAGTCCTAGATTTCACAGTAGAACCATACTTGATAACAATTTGTTGCTTATAGAATTAAAAAAATCGGAACTTTGCTTTAATAAGCCACTTTATATTGGAATGTCCATATTGGATTTGTCGAAAACGACCATGTACGAGTTTCATTATAATTACATGCTTCCAAATTTGGGTCCCGAAAAATGTAAAATTCAATACATGGATACGGACAGTTTCATTTATAATATCAAATGTTATGACGCATATGAAAGCGTTATTAAGGCCGATTTAACAAAATTTGACACGTCTGATTATCCTAATGACAATCCCTATAATATACCGCAAATCAACAAAAAGGTTTTGGGGTTGATGAAGGATGAGACTAATGGCACCATCATTAGTCATTATGCTGGGTTAAGGTCGAAAATGTATACTTTCAAAATTTTAACGGGTTCGGTAGTTAAAAAGTCAAAGGGTATTCAGTACAATATTGTAAAAAATAAAATTTCATTTGATGACTACGTAGAATGCTTAACAAATTTTAGGGAAAAGTACGCCACTCAACGAACCATTCGTTCATACACTCACAATGTATTTAGCATCGAACAAACAAAAGTTGCCTTGAGTCCTTTAGACGATAAACGTTATCTTTTGCCGAATTCATATGAAACGCTTCCGTGGGGACATTATAAAGTGCCGTAATTATTTTTTAATATATTTTTGTTACAGATTATGGTCAAACAACTTACATTAGAAAGCCTTTGTATTATAACAATTTGCGAAAATATTAGGTGTAGTGCTGATTTTTTGCGTGAGTCACCTTTGCCTTGGAAACTAACGATACTAATATTTAAATATTATTCGAAATATAGATGGAGGTACCTTAAACAACTAGCGCTCCAGTCTGATGGCAATTCTTTATTAAATTTAGAATTCATTCTGTTGAATAAGAGATTTGGATCGTCTTACAGAAATAGCATTTTGGCAACTCCAACCATTGATTTTGACGGAGAATCCGCTTACTGTTTATGGGTCAGTTATTACAGGATAAAATATTCGGAAATTTTAGTTTGTAAATCTTGTCACTTTATATTTCAAGTAGTTAAAAAATTTAAAAAGAAAAATTTTAGACTTTTATTGGATCACTATCATTTACAGCTGGATATAAATAATTTGAATGATGTATATCACGATAAACAATTTTGGTGTCAAAGCTGCATTGAAGAAGTTTTGTTCACTGTAGAAACTGAAGATGAATGTAATTTAATGCTTCACAATGAGAGGAAATATGGAAAAAAGTTACGCTTTTCTGATAGTCCATTGAACTATTAATACTGTGGTTTTATTATAACATATGTAACTGTAGATAAGACTTTTATGTATTGATTGTATTCCATTGTATTGCAACAAGAATAAACATGTATATATTTAGACGCTATTTTCTTTTTTACCACCACCACAACACCGCATAATAATTACACAGAAGTTTGTAATTGTATAATTTATTTATTATATACATTATTACTATTTTACAATTTCGTTAAATGCTAAATTATTAAATTGTTCTAGTTTTCTTTTGCACTCTTGAGCTTGCATCCGCGCCACTTGCAAGTCTGTATTAAAAAGCGCAATTTGTGTTTCAATTTCGTTGATATTGCACTCTAATCCCGACAACTGAGACGCCAAGTTTCTTTTTAAATTGAATGCCTCACAAATGACACTTTTTTCTCTACCGTCCGTGAACACTTCGAGCCAATCAGCGGATGACGTTGGAGCTGCAAACGCTTCACTTGTGGTAGTTTTCTTCTTCTTCTTGCGGGATACGACCGACGCACTTTGTTTTCGTTTGGTCGCAGATTTTTTGGTTTGTTGCTCTACAGGAACGAAGCTGGACGGGAGCACTTCTGATGAAGGAAATTGCAACTCGAAATTTTCCAATAAATTATACAATTCGTTGGATGTCACAATTTTCTCTTGAGCCATCATATACACGTATTTATGTCAGAACTTCTAAATCGAGACTAAATTTATTTCAAAACGTCTACGTTGTCTACCCACGAATCGTGCGACTTATCCAATCCCAACCAGCGCACGAGAACCATATTGCCTCGTCTGCGCAACACCTTTTCGACGAGATATAAGTCCGGGTTAACTGTCTTCTGCAATTCTTCTTCATAAAATCCGCCCATTATGGGTTTACCCTGCATATCTTGAAGCAAATACGTTACGGGGTTAGTAACCCGTACTTTAACAATTTTAAACAATTCCGTGGTCCAATTCGGTGTATAACCTTTGTTGAAAACGTGCTTGACTTTGCTGATTCTAACGATGTCGCCGACTTTAAGTTTACGAGGACCGAATATTTTTATGCTACTATACGCGGTTTTCAAAATTCTCTTTTCGTTGCTCTTACTCACATCGATGGGTTTCGTACCCGTCGTTCTATGTTTTGTGTTATTGTATTCATCAACGATAGAGGCGAGCACATCGATCCATTTGTACGTCCCGCGTAAAGAAAAATGTCGAAACAATTTCTCTTTGAGGGTACGTATCACCCGTTCGACAATTGAGGCCTTTTTTATGCTATACGTACTATAGTGGTTAATTTTATGCTTATCCACAAGTTTCAGAAACGTGTCGTTGTAAAATTCTTTACCGAGATCCGTTTGCAAGTTTTGAGGGTGCCGTCCGTCCTTGAGAATTTTGGAAAACGCCTTGGCGACTTCGACCCCGGTTTTGGTTTTCAACGGGCGACACCATACATATTTTGAGAAACAGT